GATGGGCTCCAACCAAAGCACAAAGCAGTTGGTATGAAGTGACATGTGCTTCACAGAGGGAAGGTTGGAGGGCTACAACTTGCCTTCCAGTCTTAAAAATTGCCGGCTCTGCTCTCCTAGGTATGTGCCTCCCAATATGACAGTTGTAGGTGCTGAGGGAACACCAGGAGAATGGACAGTACAGTGCATGACCTGACACAAAATGCCATCTCCTGTAGCCCTTCTGGTGGTGACAGGTGCTGGGTTGGAGGGACCATAACACTGAGTTAGTGGGACATTTCTTATGTTCTTCCTTGAAAGGTCTGGTGGACAACAGAGGAAAATTGTGACTAAAAGTACAAACACCTCTCCGCAAAACCAGAAGAGCAGATGAAGCTTCATGCATTAACTTTGCATCCAAAGGATGCAGAAAATTGCCTGACATCCCAGTCAGGTGAGGGAAAACACATGCTTAGCATATCCCATTCCTCCACGGCTGTAAAGAGAGCTAGGCTGATGCACTCAGATGCAGACACTCATGGAAGAGGTGTCTAGTTGGCATGGATCCTGCTCCTGGCCAGGCAGAAAATGGATTTGAACCTTGGCTAGCTGCAGGCAGTGACCCATTTAAATAGCCAACCAGCATCCCTAAAAGGCAGGGCTGAAGATTTAAAAAGAATCCTTCCTTGCCCCAGGGCACCCACGTGGGCAGTCCCTGCCAGAGGGCATTGGCAGATTAGCTTGCCCTGGCTCCTTCCCCAAAGCAATGTCAGCCTCGGAGCCAGAGTATGTCCTGAGTCAGCCAGCCCTGCCAGAAGTCCTGCCAGCACTCAGCAACCAGGCCATGGAAGAAGGATGGTGAGCTGACCAAATGGATAGAGATGGAGCCTCTGCCATCCTTGAGATAAAGACTAGTGCCAGTGTTGTCCAACACATTCTAGGTTTCCCCTCTGACTGTTGGTGATGGAGGGCTGCCTGGTGTCATCTGCATGGGAATCATCCCATGGATGTCAGCAAGACACACAGGTGGGGATAAGAAAGAACTTGGGTTTGCTGCACCTGCAGTGTCTGGGCGGGGGGGAGGAAAGGAGAGAGAGCAGCTTATAGAAAAGTCACCCTCCAAAAGTGCCTGGTCAGAAAGATAAAGAAATGAAATTGAAACCCAAACTTTGCAATTTAATGTTGGGTTTGGACTGAATGATGTGTCTCCCAGGCTGTTGTCCTGCCTGGTCACACAGTGCCCAGACACATGTGGTTTCCTGTGTGCATTTCCCTTCCACCTTGGTAGCTCTGACCAAAAGCAAAGTGAGCAAACCAGAAAGCAAGTGCTGCTGTAGCTGGTTTTTATTCCTAGTTGACCCTATTATCATGCTAACCTTTGACAGCCACACAAGCAGTTGAGGAGTTAGAGCTTTATAACCCCACGGGAAATACAGCGATGCCACTAGAGCTGCTAAAAAAACAACCAGCAATTAAATGGGATTGTTCCTGTTCCTCTTGCATGTGAACTTCATGTTCCTCTTCTCTTTGGCTGCATCCATACAGCTAAGTAAAGTCGTTGAGGAACCTATCCATGGGTTGAGGCCAGGTAGGGCAGTAGACCTTGCATTTCCAAGCCTTGATAAGACCAATGGGAACTCAAATGAACTGAGTTATCCTGGTTGTGAGCCCCTGTGTGCAAAAGCAGAAGAAAGATTTGGATTCACATTCACACACCAGACCACACTGTTGAGCTTTTGCTTGCAAGTGAAGCAGTGTGCAAGGTGACTGCCACAGCTCAACAGATCACAGAATCACAGAATTGTTCTGGTTGAAAAAGACCTTTAGATCACCCAGTCCAACCATTAACCTGACTTTACCACATCCAGTGCCAAAACATATTCCTAAGCACTGCATCTACACGTCTTTTAAACACCTCCAGGGACCATGATTCAACCACCTTCCCTGAGCAGCCTGTTTCAACGTTTGATAAACTTTTCAGTGAAGAAGTTTCTTTTAAAATCCAGTCTAAACCTCCCACGGAGCAACTTAAGCAACTTAAGCCCATTTCCTCTTGTCCTATTGCTTGTTACTTGTGAGAAGAGATGCACCCCCATGTTGCTACAACCTCCTTTCACATAGTGGTAGGGAGTGATGAGGCCTCCCCTCAGCCTCCTTCTCTCCAGACTAAACAAGCCCAGTTCCCTCAGCTGCTTCTCATAAGACTTGTGCTCTAGACCCTTCACCAGCTTTGTTGCCCCTCCCTAGACTTGCTCCAGCCCCTCAATGTCTTTCCTGTAGTGGGGGGCCCAAAACTGAACATGGCAGAGAGGTAAAGTTCCTTGTCAAGACAGCCCTATGTTGTGTCTCGAGGTGCAGTAAGTGGGGGCTGCTGCCTGTGGGTCTTGGGACACAAAGAGTACAGGACAAAAAGAAGAAAAAAAAAAGCAGTGTTATGAACGTGACCTCACTGTCTGGGCAGGAGTTACTTTCAGATGCACTGAGCTCTTGTTTTCTTCCTTTTCCACAAATATTGCTGGTGGGGAGCTACTCCTCAGAAGGTTATGTGTACAAAGTGAGATGGGCACAGATGCAAATGGGGATTTGGGCACTGCAGAGGTGTCTTGGAAGGCTTTGAAGGTGGTCTTTCCTTTGCAAGGATGACAGTTCTTTTTTTATGCCAGCTCAGTGATGAGGACTTATATTTAGGTTGAAGGTATCCTCCTGCATCTGTGAAATCCTATCTGCCCCAGGCAGGCAGGTGTGTCTCAGGGGAGCTGGACCGCAGCCCCACCAGAGCTCCAAGGCTGACTGGACAACAGGGATGGAGGGTGCTGTCTCTGCTGTCGGTGGATGCAGTTGTGCCCCCAAGCCAGGGCATTCTATTCAGTGAATCAGTCAAACAGAAATAATCCCAGGAGATTTAGATGGCAATAACCAATGTAAATAACAAGTATCTTTTGCTTGCCTAAGGCTTTGATGGCAGAATACTTGCACTGATGAACTGCAGACTGAAATTTGCTAGTAATAAAGTGTTTTTGCAGGTACCAACTACAAATCGGGAAGAAATAAATAATAAGTAGCTGGATGCTCAGAGTAACTTAGGGAATGGAGCAAAAGATGCATTTAGCCAAATCAATTCATTCGCTTGTCCTCAATTCAGTCTGAAAATATTCTCGAAGCGTCTCTCAGCACTGCAAAAATTATCTCCTGTTCTCATTTACAAGCAAATGTTAAGAGCTGAGAGATACATATTCCTCCTGTCTTCAGTGGTTTTTTGAAGGTTGTGTCATCAGCTGCTCCAGCATTCACAATACCCCACATATTTGTCTACTCAGGCCTCCTTTTTTAATTTTGTTGTGTTTTGTTTTTTTTTTTAACACACAGGCTCTCTGCAGTCTGGCAGAGCCAGTATTGCAGTATTGATTTAGGAGGAGGCAGCTGTGACAATCCAGTCCCAGGCTATAGCCCATGTTGTAGGGGCCTGCTCCATCCGGAGCACAAGCCTCACCCCCAGTGCAGGGCTCATGTGTAAAAAGGAGGAAAAAAAGAGAAAGAAAAAAAAACAACAAACAACCCACAAAGCTACTTTTATCTGTTCTGCTTTGAAGGAAAAAAGGATTACCAAGGCTAAATAAGCCATCTGACTACTTAGCTAGCAAGCCTAAGTAGAACCAGATAGGAAGTTCTGGCAGTGAACTAATTAAATTAACAGTCTTTGATTTATTAACAAGCAGAGCAACACATCACACAGGCTTGTCCCATGAAATGAATGCGCTTTCTGATTCCCTCGGCTGCTCCAGTGCAGTCACCTCCTGGAAAACCCGGTGATGAGGACTCAGGCTTAATGATCCTGAGCGGCTGGAGCAGGATCCCTGCCCACCAGCAGAGACACGCGCTGGCAGCGACACGCAAACGCATCTTCTTCTCTTTGCACTTCCCTAATTCCTTTTTAATGTTTAGGACGATCTAATGGCTAATTAGTAATTTCCTGCCCACTGAGATGCAGATGAATGACAAGCAAAAGCCTTCTGCATGTTTAATTATTCTGTTGATGTAGAGGCCACTTCTCCCTCAGTGGAAGTTTGTCTCCATGTGTGCTCTCATGCATCACATATTTCATTATTTTCAGAAGCATGCCCTGTGTCTTTTTATGCTCTTGTAGTTCCAGCATCCAGTAGTTACCATGTTTTGTGTCCGGTGGACCTGACCCACCAGTGGATGTGCATCAGGAAAACATCCCCGACTTTAAGTGGAGCTATTCCAAGTCATACCAGAACTGAGACCTGACCTCTCCTATTTTTACTGGTGGGGGGAAATGTTATCTGTGTGCTGGGACCCTTGTGACGGGGCAGAATATCAAATTCAGAAAACGTCAGAGTGGTGGAACTACAACCCAAAGCCCACAGACGCACAGACATGTAGGTATTTATGTAGT